GGCGGGCGGGCGCAGGGAGGAGGGGCTGCGGCGGGGGCGGATCGGACAGGCGAGCGCAGGGAGTGCGCAGGCAGAGTCAGGGCGCGTCAGGGCCCGGGCGGCGGGCGTGCGCACCAGGGCGGTGCCGGCTTTGCACCACTCCTCGCACTGGGAGTAGGGGACGTTGGGGAGCCCGACGTAGGGCACGGTGTCGAGGCGAGCTTGGCACGCCATGGCTGCGAGGGCGAGGGAGGAGGTAGGTGGTCAGCGCGGCGTCGGCGCGAGCCGGGGCGCGGCGAGCGGCGGGGGGCGCGGCGCGAGCGTCGAGTATGTGGGCCCTGAGGGCCGTGGGAGGCGGCGCAGGGGGTCGCGGGGTGGCGCCCCGGCTCCGGAGGGCGGGCAGAAGGGCGCGGCAGAAGGGAGCGGCACCTTCAAAGCAGTGTCTAGGTTGGGGGAACAGGATCCTGCCCGCGGTTTGTCGCCAAACACGCCGGTTTTGTTTTTTTCTTATTCTTGGCACCTTGCTCCCTGAGAGTTGACCGTTATCTGTCCTTACCTTCCCTTACCTTACTAAGCCACAGAGAGTACGTGCGTCGGGGGCGAGCGTCGGCTGATTGGCGACACAGGTACGGCCAACATACAAACAAAAGGAGGTGTGCGAGAAGCGCACCGCCCGCGACAAAAACAAGTACTACTCGAGTACACCGTCCGCGGCGGCTACCTGACTGAGTTCTACCCCAAGAGCGTCCCGCTCCCCGAGCCCGAGTCCCTTCCAGCTACCGACGCGATTCTCAATGGCACTTGCAAATCCACGTACCCGCGGCCACGGGCGCTCGCTGCCATCAAGAATCACAAGGACTGGTTCGCGCACCAGGAGCTCGTCAAGGCGCAGGATGTGCACGTCAAGAACAACCCGTCCCTCGGAGACAGCGCCGTCAACAACCGCGAAGCCGCGCGCTTCGTCTCCGCCTCAACGCCTTTCGCCGGCAAGGCCTTCGATGTCCGTGTCGACGGTACGTACGCCACCGCCCTCTCCTCCGACACCCTCCAGGACGAGCTCCAGCGGAAGCTCGGCCTTTGGCTCTCCGCGGCGCTTCCCACCCTTCGGGTCGCGCTCGAGCGGGGCATGCCAGTCGATTTCTTCGGCGACTACCTTTACAACAAGGCCCACCACCGGCGGCCCCACGACGGCGTCCTCGCCGCCTGGGCGGACGCGATGCGCGCCCCGGCCAACGCGCCGGTCGTGCACGGTGACAAGGAGAAACCAGAGCTCACCCGGCAGTACAACGAGGGGTACAAGGTCGACCTCGCGGAACCCCACGCTGGCCCGGGAGGATGCGATGAGGTGAATGAAGTCAAGCTCTGGACGCCCCTCCTCAAGACCTCCTCGCCGGGCGTTGGCAACGCCTCGAGTGGCGGCACGCCCGCCTCCGTTGGCCACTCCTACGCCTTTGGCAACACCGAAGAGAAGGCCCGCCGCCTGAACATGGGCTGCAAGGCGCGCGGGCAGCCCGGTCTCTCTCTCCCAACCCTTGACTCCCACAAGACCGGCCACGGCTACGTCAAGGCGCATCGCGGTTTCTACCACGACGCGATCTTTGTCAAGCGCAACAACTTCATTCAACCTGCTGCTCCACGAGACGTTCGGCGGCGGCTTCTCGCCCACCGCCGTTCTCAAGCTGCGCCGCCTCGCGCGCAAAGTCGCGCGCGGCAGCGTTGACCGCACGGCCTACTCGCCTAAGTACTCGCTCTCTTTTATGTCCCACCATGCAGAGCGCATCTCTCTCTCTGTTGTGCGAGGCGTGAACCGCGCCATTCGTTCTCACCTGGCAACCCTGTCTGCACGTCTCGCGCGCGCGTGATAAGGGCTCCAGGCCCCAAATGACGTGTGAGTGTTGGAGTTGTTTGGTATTGATGCCGCCCTCGCCACAATCGCCTTGCGACCCTGCTCCACCGCCACGTCATCCAGCAGCGCCTTGTGCTCCGCAGTCACCGTGTTGCCGTCGGCGCCGTCTCTCCTCGCCATCTTGACGACGGAGTCCGTCATCTTCTCCAAACCCGCCGCCAAATCGGCAGCAGTGCCAGCCCCGGCAGCCGTCTTTCGCTCCTTTCGTCGAGCCACAACGTATTTGTCCGGACCGTCGAGGCGGGCAGCGAACACTCGTTCGAGCATCGTAGACGACGCCCTCACCGGCGCCCCCGCGTCGTCGTTGGCTTTGTTCGCCGCCTTGTCTGCTGCCCCCTTCTCCCGCAAATCGAGCTGCGCCCGCACTGCCGCCATCGCGTTCGTCGCCTGCGAGGCGACCTTCGCCACCTTGGCCTTCCTCTCCCGCTCTGCCGCCGCCTTCCGGTCCTCGCGGCGGTCCGCCAGCGGGTTGTCGCCGGCGTCAGCAGCCACGATCATGGCCGTGACACCCTCGCCTGCCATGCCGAAATCGACGCGCGTCCCAAAAGTCGCCAAAAGTGGCGGCGAGTCGCAATCACCCGCCCGCCGTCCCGGCGGTCCCGCAGCTCGCGCACATCTCCCTCTTAACCCACCTGTAACATCACATAAAGGTATTGCTAAAAATCTCTCCCAACATGCCACCCACAGGAAGAGGCCCACCACAAACCACGCCCAGCTCATCTTTATGGGACCCCTCGCCAGTCGTCGAATCGTCTCCCGAACGATGTGTAGTTGAACAGCCGCCAGACCCATCGGCCGATGCCCTCTCCGTCCCGCCCCGGAGACGGCTCGAACTGGCGCTCCGGCTCAACCACAACGCACAAGCACAACGACCACCGACTCGGAGCGACGCTTTGGCTGGTGGGAACCCGGTTGGTATTGAAGTTGGCCACAACCCTTGCTTGATGCCCCACAGTGTGAAGTGCAGAGCGGACGAATCGCAGTTACTCTCGAGTTACAGTTAGCTGTCATTCTGTTTCACGACAGCCGCAGGCTCTGCCACCCTGCGCGCAGATAGGAAGAGGCAGACGCCCAAGGGTGGGCGACGGTTAGCACCACACTCCTCTCCTATTACTTCTCTTACGACTACCCGACGCTCGACTGCGCCGGCATTCAAATCGCGAGCATTGACGCCTCCGTGGGCGAGTGCACACCGGGCGCCCAGGGGGGCAAGGCACGCCGCCCCGCTTGCGGGCGCGGGGGGGGGGGGGGGGGGGCGCGTAGCGAATATTGGCCGACGCTTCACTCCTTGGCCTCCGGCGCAGGCTTGGTGCAGGTCAGCACATTCTGGAGCGAGCCCCACGACTCGTAGACGGGCAGCACGACGATGACGAGCGAGCCGATGTAGCCCCAGCAGTAGGCGACCGAGGCCCAGAGCGTGTAGTTGGCCTTGTCGAAGACGCCCCACGCGATGACGGCGAGCGGCCAGACGAAGATGAGGAAGACCGAGTAGCCAACGCCATACTTGAAGACGTACTTTGCGGCCGGGTCGAGGTACTCAGCGGTCATCTCGAACTCGGGCAGCTCGTCCTTGACCTGCGGAGGGAG